TCCACCTGTCCCTTCCTCCCTCCCAGTTATCCCTGGCAACTACTGATCTTTTTACTGTGTCCATAGTTTGCCTTTTCCAGAATGTCATCTAGTTGGAACCATATAGTATGTAGCCTTTTCACATTGGCTTCTTTCACTTAATAATATTTAAGGTTCCGTCACGTCTTTTCATGGCTTGATAGCTCATTTCTTTTTTGTACTGAATAATATTCTGTTGTCTGAGTATACCACAGTTTATTTATCCATTCATCTACTGAAGGTCTTAGACTTCTTTCATGTGTCCAGTATCAGACTCTATATCTCTCAAACTCTAAGGGTATATACCAAGCTTTCTGAATGGTTCTATTAAGGCTACTCTAACTTAATATGGTAGTCAGAATAATGGCCCCAAAGATGTCTACATTCTAATCCCCAGAACCTGGGAGTTTATAAAGTTACATGGCAAAGTGGAATTAGGGTTGATAATCATCTGGCTTTAAAGTAGGGAAATTGTCCTGGATTATCTGGGTAATATAAAGGTCCTTAAAAGTAGAAGCAAAAGGCAGAAGTCTCTGTGTCAGAATGATGAGGTGTGATAGCAACTCAAAGTGCTGATGCTATGAACCAAGCAATGTGGGGATTAAAAAAGGGAGGGCTCATTTCCCAAAGGAAGGGGACTCTTGCTATCAGAAATGGAGATGGGAAGGATGCTGGGGAAAATAAGCAGAAGCCATCCTGTTAGATACTTATATAAATATATGCACATAGATATAGCTATGGAGATACACCCACCCACACACACACACATACATGCATACATGTAGATAGTTAGAAAGAATAAATTGCACAGATTTTTTTTTATGGTAGGTAATTTTTTTTCTTTTTGCTTACCTGGATTTTTTTCTGTAATAAATAGCATTAGTGATAGAATAAATAAATAAATAAATAAATAAATAAATAAATAAATAAAAGATTTAAAAAAGAAACTAGGCAGGGGTCCCTAGGTGGCTCAGTTGGCTAAGTGTCTGACTTTAGCTCAGGTCAGGATCTCACAGTTTGTGAGTCTGAGTCCTGCCTTGGGCTCCACACTGGCTGTGCAGAGCCTACTTAGGATTCTCTCTTCCTCTCTCTCTGCCCCTCCCCCACGTTTGCACACTCTCTTTCTCTCTCTGTGTCAAAATACATAAGTAAACTTAAAAAAAAAACTAGGCATACTTTCCCCAAGAGCCTTTTGTTACTTTCCCGACACTAATCTGCCTTTCCTACTAAGGTCACAGGCAAGAGCTCTTTGATTTGGATGGTTCAGAGGAGCTTCCTCAGCCCAAAACATGGTGATCCTTCTGTGTAACCAGGCTACTCACCCATATCCACACCACACCGGATGCCACCAGATGTAATGGCCTGTTCACTGAGGTCTGGCCCATTGTCATCATTCCAGAGAAACCTGCCCCTACATAATATCCTAAAAAAGAGGAACCCATTCCCAACATCAAGGGAGACTGGAGAGGCTTCCTGAACTGTCCTTCATCCTTTAATCCTTCCCAGAATTAAGGATGTACATTTTGTCCACAATAGGAACACTATTTCTGGACACAGTATCTCTAGCTGTCTTTCTTCTTGCACCTGGTGCAAAGTGGGCATCCTAGGAGAACTGGAGGATGAATGGTACTCCCACAACTGCTTTTGTGTTGGTTTCTCTGCCCTGTCTCCTGTTGCTGGGACACATACCCAGAAGTCAGCCTAGAATCCCTTGGTTATCTGGGGTCTGCTGGTCAAACCTGACATCACATTATACACAGGAGTCCCCTCGGAGGCTGTGGAAAGCCTGACCAGCTGTCACAGTGTCTTCATTCTCATCTCATAGCCCTTCTCCCCTCTCCTCTCTGCACCCCCCTCCCAGGCCTCCCCATCCCCTTTCCCAGTGTGTTGTCCACTCTGGTTTCCTCCAGGCCTTGACTGGAGGGATTGGGATTGCTATCCTTGGAGATGACTTTTGGCTCTTCTGGGGTATTTCAAGCAACCCAGGTCTCTTCTCCACTTCCACTGATTACGGCCATGGTCCATCTCCAAGCAGAAGGAGAATCCCAACCAGAGAAGGGGGAAAGTGGCAAAACTGTTTCCTTCCTCCATCCTTCTCCAAAGAAAGTCTTAGAAGCCCAAGGTCATGGCAAGTGGAGAAACAGAGAAATGAGCATGGACTTCCCTTTCTCTCATCACGGCAGTGATTTTTGGTCACTCTAAGTCTGACCCAAAGTTCCTCCTCTGTTTAGAAGAGCTGGGATCTCCTGAGTGTCCAGGAGAGCCTCCCATTTTCCTGGCAGGAAAGTATGGCTGAGGTATTTGCCTCTTGCTTTGTCTTTTTCCTCCAAGACTGTCAGGTCAGGGGCCAGATAGGCACCCAGAGGGATGCATGGGAGACGTGCTCAGTCAGTACCTGCAGATAGATGAGCATGGCCATAGGAAAATAGCTTGTGACTCTGTTCTTCCCCACAAAGTGGGAAATGAAACTCCTCATGGCTGGGACTTTTACATCCACCATCTCTGAAACCCTGGTGGGTCCACAGCCCAAGATTCTGGTTGCTTCTTGCTTAGCTTCCTCATGCTGGCTCAGCAGAATATCTATGTGAGGCCTCCATTCCCACCACTCAGAGCATATGCCCCCCAAGCCCAGCCCCTTCTTATGCAGTGGGCTCAGCTTGGTGAGGTCTCTGGATCCTTTCCTGGGACTAGTGAGAAGGCATATAGGTGTTTCATTAATACCTGATGCTACGAACCAGCAGAAGTTTGGGAAAAGCCAACTTTTGGACAGAGTCCACACACTCCAGGTGAGGCAGACTCTCCCACATGCCTCAGGAGGTGACCAAGACCTTAGAGGCCCCTTCTACCAGAGCCTTGAGTAATTTGGCTTCTTCTCCACCCCAGGCTCTGGACTATGACAGGTTGTAAATGTAGGGCCAGGGGCTAGGAGCAGAAGGGCTGAGGCAACTCTGAGGTTTGACTGGGTACAAGCATGAGATCCCAGAACCAGAACATTCTAATCCCTTCTGAACATTGGTGGAACCAAGGTTCTGTAACCAAATGAGCCACCTGGACAGAGTGGGGTATAGTCATAAATGTTCAGAGACAGGCAATGAGGGATTAGGTAATGTCAAAGGTTAGAACAGGTAGCAGTTCTGGAAGCTACAGACAGAATGTGGATGGGGAGCAGATGAGATGGGGTGAAAGGCCACCACCCTGTAGCCCAGGTTCTTTCCCACCACTTGGGGAGTGTGGCGAGGGGTCCTCTCTGGGTCAGTCCTCATCCAGTCAAAGGAGGAGCTCCAGTCTGAGGCCTAGTCAGCCTGGAGAGAGAGCAGCAAGGGGCCTGTAAGTACTGGGCTGACTAGGGGGGTGGGGTCCTCTGACATATCAAAGCAGCAAAAGCCTCTGCAAGGATGGGTAGCTATTTACTTGGCCCTCCCTCATTTGTTTCCACCTCTTGTCCCTGGTACCACACTGTCGTCCATATCCATTGGCTCACATTCAGCAAGCCTTGGCCGGCTTTCTAGTCCTGTGGCCAGAATTTTCATGCATTATTGAGTAAGGTGTAAATCATACTTCTCTCATGTCTTTGCTGTGGAAATAAATGAATGATAATGGCAGTAGCTTCTGGAAGACAGATCCTAATCCACAGACTCTAGGTTTCAGAATTGAGTAATGATCAGCCATCAACTCCCATCCACTAATCTTCCACCTATATGGCTAGCCAGCCAGTCAACCTTCTGTCCATCTATCTAATTATCTGGACCAACTCCCTTCCTTTTCTCCTTCCCTCCCTGTCTCCTTTCCTCACTTCCACCCTTTCTTTCCTGTCTTCCAAGTAATATTTGTTTAGAATGTGTTATGTACCAGGTTTCTCTGATGTGACCGATTTCTTCAAAGCATGAGAAGCTTCCCAGGAGAGAACTTAGTCCTTCACTGAGCCCCAGATCAGCTCCTATTTGCCCTTAGCTTCTCCCACATATGAAAGAACAGTTCCTGGTCCGATGACGCTGAGCCTCCCCACTTTGAGAAGCTCGTAAGTGCAGGAAGCAGGAAGGAGAACCCACATCTTACATTTACATTTTGAATCGCCAAACCCTACTTTTATAAAGGGATGCTGTATCATCTAAGATGCCTTGATAACAGAAAGTATTTTATTTCAGCGGTCTCCTTAATGGTCTCCCTGCTTCCAGGCTTTCCACACCCTCTGCTATGCTCCTCGCCACCGCCAGAGTGAACTTTCTCCAGTGTCCCTGCCCTTGTCTCTCTCCTGCCTGAAGTCCCTTCATTGGCTCCATGTCACCCATAAACCAAAGTTCAAGCTCCAAGAGAATCTTCATGATCTGACCCCAGGTGCCTCTTTAGCCCCATGCCCTTCCCCTTCCTGTCACAGTCTTTACACTCCAACACCATCAACTGGCACTCCATGCTGTCTTATGCCCCCATACTTCTGAGTGTGCTAATCCTTCTACCTGGAGCTTTTTACCATTATTCCATTCTTTGTACTTCCTTTGGATGGCATGTATTCTTCTATTGTTATGCTCATAACACTGTATCGTAATTTATTTGCTCAGGTCTGTCTTTCCTACCCGATTGTAAGCTGCTGGAGTACAGACTGTGAGTTAGTCATCTTTGCGGCCCGGTCCCCGTACAGCGCCTCGTACCTAGGAGGCAACCCATGTGCATTTGTGAGATGCATGCATGCATAGATGGATGATGGATGAGCAGAGTCTTCTAAGAGAAATAGAGCAGCGTTGGGACAATATGGTTAAAGTGTCCATGCAACAGGCCCCTGGGAGAAGAAGACACGTGGCCTCTTCTTGAGAGCTCAGACCTTTGCGGACATGACTGAGCTGTGGCTGAGGCCAGGCAAGGTGTCTAAGCCAAGAATGGGGAACTTTGGGGTGACATGACGGCCTCCTGTGGGACTCACTTCCCATTTTTTTCTGGATAAAATGCCCTTGGGGAAACAGACAGCTGAATGTACCTGTGCTGCAGGTGCAAGTGTGCAGGATGAAGGCTGCTGAGAGCGAGGTCTCGGATGTGCACTTCAGTGTAGATAAACAGAACATCTCTCTCTGGCCCCGAGGCAAGCACCAGCCTCCGCTCAGAATCTGCTTGGTGCCCTGCATTCTGCTGTTGGCAGGTCCTTCAACACATGTTCTCTTCTTCTTCTGGCAGAGCCTCCTCCCAAGACGGATCCATCTCTGGTTCTGAGGAAATCTCTCACAGTCCGGGCTGCAGTCATCATCCTGACGCTGGGCCTGGCTGCTTCCATCCTGCTGCAGGCTGTTCTCTGTAAGTCCTCACGTTCTGTCATCCAAGCTTGGTCTTTCTCCACAGTCAGCCGGCTCCCTCAACATCCAGACCCTCTGTTCAGTTGTGTCTCCCACCTCTGGCTTTTCCATTTGTCTCGTTTCCCCTCTTTCCAGGGGCAGTCTCTGGGTCCCCTGTTCCAAGTAAGATGAGCTGCTGCTCTCTCCTTCCCAACCCCGGGGAGATTTTCCGGGTTGAGATCAGCACTTGCATGCGTGGGCTCAAGGATATGCTGCTTTGCCCCCAGGAAACATTCACCCATTTCTTCATCCCGTGTCATCCCCACTGCGCCCCCGAGCTGTGTTCTTTTTGTGTGGAATCTTGTGGGCAGCTGTTAACAGTGAGCAAAATGGTTTTTGATCCCACAAAAGAAGGGCTTCTAACTGCATTCAGCCCTGACTGACTAGGTGGAGAGTCTGCCAGTGAGCCAACAGATCTCCTGGTTCACCATTCTCACCAGGACCCCTTCATGTTCTTTTCATTTATCTTCCCATTCCTGCTGAGGTCATGTCAAGGGAGACTTCCTACTTGTTCACTGGTTGTGTGACTTATCTTTCCTCTTCTTCTGCTCTGCCTAACCCCTCATGTTCTCTGCTAGCAGAGCCTTCTTCCTCCCACCAGGTCTCCAGAAAGCAGGGGGATGCAACATCTGTCTTCTCCCTTCAAGGCTTTGGGACATATTTGGTCTCAGACTAGAAGCCTCTGAGCAGAGTTTCCTCTTGGTTTGTTTTTGGTCTCCTATCTGCCACCCGAGCCTGTAGCCTGAGCAGAATGTCATGGTGGGTGGGATAAGGGAAGGGTAGAAATGGTTTCATAATTCCCTCTTTCCATATTCTCTGGAGAAGTCACTTCCAGATTGGAAGTCTGCATGCCTGGCCCCCATCATGGCCACAGGGGGCCTGTGGGTAGATGTGGGAAGGGTGCTGCCCTAGTGGATGCCACTGTAGGGGCCTCTGGAAGGAGGAACTGGGAATCAAGTGATGGAGCCCCAGGGATGCAACAAGGAAGTAACTGAGGGCATCCTTTTACCAAATGTGCCTCAAATATGCAAAGCAAGTTTAGGACTGGGTACTAATCTCTGCTTCTGCCTCCCTATGAGGTCCTCCAACAGACGGTCTGTGTTTTATCAATCTGTGCATTACCTGCATCTGCAAGAGTTCCCAGCAAGTGCTAGGTGCCCATCACATGTTTGTTGAATGAATACATTATGAGTGAATGGAGGGTAAGCAACAGCTCTTTGGGTAGCTTAAGCTTATCCCTTACTTTCCCTTCCTTTTATCGCCCTGACAACACTCTGAGTCCCTGGGAGTCCCTTTGCCTGACGTCTTGACTTTCTCAAATCCAGATCCCTGGTTTATGCGTACAATATCAAATGTAAAGAACAATGCTCAGTTGCTGAAAGGCCGTGTGGACAACATCAGCGCTCTGGGCTCTGAGATTAAGAGGAATAGAGGAGGCGTGGAGGCAACCGGCATTCAGGTCCAGAAGGTGAATGCCAGCCTGGATCATGTGCGTTCTCAGATCTGGAAGTTGGAAACTGGTGTGAAGGAAGCCAATGCACAGATACAGATGTTAACAAGAAGTTGGGAGGCGGTCAATGACTTAAATGCCCAAATTCCAGAGTTAAAAAGAAATTTGGATAAAGCCAGTTCTTTAAATGCAAAGGTCCAGGGACTCCAGACCAGTTTGGAGAATATCAGCAAGGTGCTCAAACAGCAAAGTAAGTGATTCAGAAAAGAACGTTGTAAGCTGACCAGTGGCCTGTGGAGCCTTGCCAGCTTCAGGCATGAGGCCATTGGGCTGGCACGTGTGGAAGGAAGGGGAAGAGGAGCTGGGCAGACGTGGTTGGAAAGTTAAGAAACAAGGGCTCAGCAGTGGGCTTGGAGGACTTAGGGGCTGTTCAGGAGAAAAGGGACCAGGGACCAGCATGGGCTCTCACACTAAGGCACAGAGTATGAAGGCATTAGGGAGTCTCTCTGTCCTGGCCCAAACCTAGCCATTAATCCATTAAGTTCCATCCCTGGAGTGCGGGGGCTCAGCCACTTGTGATGGCCAACAGAGAATTGTTTCCTCTTAGGAGGAGGGACCGATTCTTGATCAATATTTTTAACTCTCCCCTATCTAAGCCCAGATACTCTACCACTCTCAGCTAGACTTTCAGCATGTGACACAGTGTCCCTGAGCCCTTACATAAGGACCCAAGGACCCCAGAACCCAGCCCCATTTGCTGCTGTCTCTGGGATCCCACTCGAGAACCACCCCCAGCCAGCACCCAGAGGAAACAGGAGCCCCAGTGTTCACCTTTCATCCTTGTTCTCCAGATGACATTCTGCAGATGGTTTCTCAAGGCTGGAAGTACTTCAAGGGGAACTTTTATTACTTTTCTCAAGTCCCAAAGACCTGGTACAGTGCCCAGCAGTTCTGTGTGTCCAGGGATTCACACCTGACCTCAGTGGCCTCGGAGAGTGAACAGGTAAGTTCTGTTCCAATGAGCTCAAAGAAGGGGGTGTATTAACAGCCATATCAGGAAGGATGGGCAAGATTATGGTGCAGTAATCCCCAAATACCAGTGACCTAACAATGAAGGATTACTTCTCAGTTGCACTACATGTCCAACAAGGGCCTGCAAGGGGTTCTGCCTGGGTGGTCACTCAAGGACCTAGGCCAAAGGAGACTCCATCTCAGTGTATGGTTCCACAGTTGCTGAGATAGGGAAGGAGAACATGGCAAATCGTATGTTGGCTCTTAAGCATCTGTCTGGAAATCACAGATATCACTTTTGCTCACATTTCATTGGCTAAAGCAAATGATGCAGTGGTCCCAGCTTCAGAGAGGGCAGGGAGGTACAATCTTTCTAGGTGCCCAGAAAACAAAAATGTTTTGTGAATAACATTAATAACACTACGTAACCCTACCTAGTCTCCTACCTAGTGAGCAAAATATTGAACAAGCCCCTTTCATCTGGGAGGTGGACTAGTAGAGCAGGTAAGAGTGTGTGCTCTGGGGTCTAGAGCCCTAACCCTGCTCCTAACTGGTCCCAGAGCCTGGGTAGTTATTTAACTTCATTAGATGGGCCTATTGATCAATGAAGCACACATGATAATAGTACCTGCTTCAGAGAACAGCTGACTAGATGCATATAAATGCACGGTGCCTTGCACATATTAAGCGCTCACTGCATTTCAGTTATTAGTATCTGGGCCCTTCTCCTGGGGTCCCTGCTCTGGGGTTTAGCTGAGTCTTTCTTGTACTCCAGAACCTACTTCCTGAGGAGCGGAAAGGCCCAAGACCTTGAGACCTGAGTCTGTTAGTTGCGGGGAAAAGACAAAGACTTTGGAAGATGGACTCTGGGCAGGGACAGGAAGGGGCTTGAGAGAGGTCAGTGTGTGTGGTATGTGGGGGCTGGCACTGAGGACAGAGAGAACAAGAACAAAAACACCCAGAGAGACAGATGTTCCACTTGCACATTGTAGCAGGTGCCTCACTCCTTCTCCTTCCCTATAGGAGTTTCTGTACAAGATGGCAGGTGGACTTTTCTACTGGATCGGCCTGACCAAAGCCGGGAGTGAGGGGGACTGGTACTGGGTAGACGATACTCCATTTAACAAGGTCCAGAGTGCAAGGTAAGCCCCAGAGCCTCCTTCCCAGCCTGACTTTCCTGGGCCAGGACCAGGGCATGAAGGACGGGGTGACTACGGGGTTTGTGGTTCTTCCCTGTCCTCAGGTGGTAGGAACACTGAGCTGAGATCTAGCTCACCTTTGCCACTAATTTCCTGTGGGACTGGGGACAAATCCATGGCCTCTCCATGCCATCTGGGGTTTGGCGGCATGGCCTTCTACCCATCCTCGGCAGATCCCCTGTTCTATGTCTCAGTCTTTGCAGTGTGGGTTTGCGGAGGGCCTTGAGAGTGGTGGGCTGGCTTGGCTCTAAGTTGGGAGAGTGATTTCAGGCTTTGAGATTGACGGCTCACCAGTCCGCTTCCTCTCAGGCATGGGTACAAAAACTTGTGATGCTATCACTCAGGAGCAAAGCTGGGACTGAAGTCATTCATTTCTTCATTGGATGTAAGTTTTTCTTTGTTTTTTCCTTTGGTAGGTTCTGGATTCCAGGTGAGCCCAATAATTTTGGGAACAATGAACACTGTGCCAATATAAAGATGTCCTCGCTTCAGTCATGGAATGATGCCTCCTGTGACAATAAGCTCCTTTTCATCTGTAAACGGCCCTACATACCATCAGAACCATGACGGGCCTGGTCCCAAGCTCGCACGTTGAGCTCCAATGCTTGTTGAACTAGAGAAGCTGCCTCTCTTTCTTCCATATTCCGGGATGGCTTTGCACCTTCACTTTTCTGGCTTCAAAATTGTCCCAGAGGCATCCTGGAGTTCATCTGCTTTGGCTGGGAATTCTCTGACCCCATAGAGGCAGCTGGAGTGGAAGGGAGATCTTGGAAAAGGAGAGGGGGGCGGAGAGGATTTAGAAGTTCAAATTGCCTCAGGAAGGTGATCAGAAACTTGCGGTTCCCTTTCCCTTCAGAGAAGCCTCAGTTTTATCACATGAAAGTTGCTTCAGACCACCCAAGCGGTTCTCCTGATACCGATGTTCAGGGCTTTTCCAATTGATCCCCCAGAATTCCCATTTGCCTGCTTAGGGGGCCGTGTTCTCAGTGGGAAGAGCTCGGCTCTTAGAGACCCCGTCTAGGCCCTGTTCCCATTGCTCTCCATCCACATCCCCTGAGGTCTAAGCCCCTTCTTCTCTGAGATGGGGGCAACTGGTTCAGCTCGGGGGCTGACACGGCAATGAGTCTCTGTTAGAGCTGGACCAGCATCCACGCTCCTTCTTGCTCCCCTTTGCTCGGCAAACTCCGAGGCCCAGCTCTGTTTTCTACAGTCCTCTGCCCAGCCCCCCTGTTTCACCTCCTGCACATCCTCTTTCATCTGCATTTCCTCTCTTCCCTTTAGGGACAGAGTTCACCTGCAAACTTCATCAGAGTCAAATGCTGCCTGGGTAAAGCATGTTTTACCTCTGTGAGCATGTTTTGTTCCCAGCTGTACAGGTGAATATGCCGGCAAGGCCATCTGCTCTGCCGGACATGGAGTTCTGGGGTATCCCCAGGAGATAGTTGGAGGCCCCAAAATGACAAGGGGTAGAGAAGATTCAGCTCCGGAAACGCCACAAATATGAGCAATGCTTACCCTTGGTTTTTATTGAACTGAAGGAGAGTGAGGTCTGCAGCATCATGTCCCTCCTGGTGGTCTTTCCTCTCAGAAGCTCAGTGCACAGTCTGTTGCCTGGCTTTACTCCTGAAGGTGTAAAGTTGACATTATTTCCCATCCTTCACAAAGACCCTGTTTGTGGGTATCAGGTCCCGGTGCCCTGGTCCAGTGGCTGAGGCAGGGATCTAGGCAGGGGCTGTACTGCTAGGAGGGGAGCAGAGAAGGAGAAGGAAGGAGGTGGTGCGAGCACAGGGGTGGGCTCAGTAGGGCGTTCTCCTCTCCTTCGGTCCTCATTAGGGCTCTCAGTAGGGTCCTGAGGACAGGACATTTTCCTTCAATGACTGTGACCAGCAGGTGGTGTTTTGGGTGCAAAGGGGTCAGGCTTAGGGCAGGGGCATTAGGAGGAAGCTTGAAGTAACATGGAGCAAATGGGATTTTTAAAATATGGCAATGGCAGGGCACCTGGGTGGCTCCGTTGGTTAAGTGTCCAACTTCTGTTCAAGTCATGATCTCACGGTTTGTGAGTTCGAGCCCGACATCGGGTTCTGTGCTGTCAGCCGGAGCCTGCTTCGGGTCCTCTGTCTGTCTGTCTGTTTCTTTCTCTCTACTCCCCTCCCCTGCTCATGCTCTTTCTCTTTCTCAAAAATAAACAGACGTTTAAAAAAATATGACAAGGGGGGTGCCTGTGTGGCTCAGTCTGTTAAGCGTCTGACTCTTGATCTCAGCTCAGGTCTTGATCCTATGGTCATGAGTTCAAGCCCCTCATTGGGATCTGTGCTTGTTGTGAAGCCTACTTAAAAAAAAAAAATGAGGGGCGCCTGGGTGGCGCAGTCGGTTAAGCATCCGACTTCAGCCAGGTCATGATCTCGCGGTCCGTGAGTTCGAGCCCCGCGTCGGGCTCTGGGCTGATGGCTCGGAGCCTGGAGCCTGTTTCCGATTCTGTGTCTCCCTCTCTCTCTGCCCCTCTCCCGTTCATGCTCTGTCTCTCTCTGTCCCAAAAATAAATAAAAAACGTTGAAAAAAAAATTAAAAAAAAAAAGAAATAAAATAAAATAGGCAATGGATGAGGGATGGGCAGTCAGTGATCATGTCCATGCAGGAGCATTTGCAGGCCAGTTCCAGAGACTGCTGAAGTCTGAGGGAGTGAGTATCTCAGGGCAGAGAACATGGGCAAGCCAATGTGGCTGCTGCAAGCATGAAAGAATTCTTCCACATTTCACTAAGAAACATTTTGTTGTTCCTACTCTTTGTAATTACAAGCAGCAAATTATGGGAGAATTTTATTTCTTCCCCATGTCGGGCCTCTAATCATAGCATGAGCTGATACAGAAATTGAATACAAGCTGCTTCTAGGGAGCTATCCCATTGTGTTTTTGAACATTTCGCTTTCCCACCTGACATGTTCGTCCTGATATCTGAGCTGCCGCGTTGAGTAGCATGTGACCCAGCCCCACACTCCGCGTTCCTCCCTAGGTGGCACTTGTCACCAGGCCAGCTGATTCAGAGGCTTGTAGCGTAAGGCCTAAAATTTCATGTGCTGCTGTGACATCTTTGAGCCCCAGAGCCTAACTATGCATTCCCCTGATCTTACCAGATATGTCCCCCTACCTGGCTAGTTCCTCTATCCACTGGACCAGCTGCACTGCACCCAACTTTCAACCTAATGGGTTCCACTAGCCCACCCACCAACCTGGGAAACTATTCCAATGAGACAATCATGTCCTGCAGGAATCAGGGCCCCTGTAAGTTCTTGTTACCATAATGCCTGCCTACCACAGTCCTTGCTGGTTCACTGTGCTTGCAGGCATAACCCCTGCGGGACCCTGCATAGCATGTGGTCTCCTCCTCTCTAGACTGTGAGTATATGACTAATAAACCACTGCTCAGTATTAGGTGTCATCCGTTTGGTCTTCATCCCCTATTTAGAGCAGGAGATCCCTCCCTCACTGTTATAGACCGAATGGTTGTATGTCCTCAAAATTCACGTGTTGGAATTCTAACCTCCAATGTGATGGTGTTAGGAGGTGGGGCCTTTAGGAGGGCTTCACCCTCATGATGGGATTAGTGCCCTTATAAAAAGAGAAATGAAAGCATGCTTCTCTCTCTGCCAGGTGAGGATACAGTGAGATGACAGTCTGCACACCAGAAAGAGAGCTCTCTGCAGGAACGGAATAGCCAGAAACCTGATCTTGGACTTTCCAGCCTCCAGAACTGTGAGAAAGAGGTTTCCCTTGTGTAGACCTCTTAGTCTGTAGTATTCTTGTTGTAGTAGTTCGAAATGACTGAGTCACTCACCCCTGGGATGAACAGGAGGAGAACAGAACAAGGCTGCTCAGGGATCTCTGGTTGGTCCTGGTGTGAGGAGGGGAGCAGGACAATCTGACCACTTCTCTGGGAAAGAACTTGGGTGTGGAAATACCCAGGGGATGATGCAGCTAATGGGGAAGTCCAGCGGGAAGGCCCTGGGTTAGAGAAGGGCTGATAGGGGCCATCATGGGGCACCTGCAGAAACAAGGATAAGCAGCAGCTACAAGGCAGAAAGTAGAGCACATGGAAGTATACCTGGCAGGGAAAAGAGAAAGGTGCAGAGGAGAGAGTAGCTGAGATGCAGAGGGGAGGGCAGCAGAGTGAAAGCCCAAGAACTCTGGCTGCTGAAGTTCCTCAGATCCAGCCCAGCCCTCCTGACCCTCCTGGGTCCTGTGCATGTGGATCCTGTGACAAGACTTGCCCATGTCCACCCCCTTGCCTTTTTTTCCAAATGGAAGGAGACTGAGTCAGTGAGGAGTCTGTGCCTCATCTTGTAACCAGCCAGAATAGTGTTACCATGGCCTCCCCACTCATGAAGCTGGGACAGCTACTGCTTTGCCTTGTCTTGTGATCTTGGCTCACTTCTCCCCACATGCTGGGCTCACTTCTCCAGTGAGGTCACTTCATGGGTACCTGCCCTTCTGCTCGTGGTGGGACCTCACCCAGGAAATCCTGGCATCGGTAGTACATTAGTCCCTATCTCAGGTGGGGGGTGGGCATCATCAGTACCTAGCTCTTCAGGTCACAGACACCATATTTCTTTTTTTAAAAAACATGTTTATTTATTTTTGAGAGAGAGGGTGGGGAGGGGCAGAGAGAGGATCTCAAGCGGGCTCTGCACTGTCAGCACAGAGTGCTCTGTGGGGCTTGAACTCACGAACCGTGAGCTGAAATCAAGAGTTGGACACTTAACTGGGAAAAAGTTGGGAGCCAAGAATGGGTGAGAACTTTGTCACAGCCAACTTGTATATTCTTTTTATTATGGTAATTTTTTTCCCTCATTTAGTAGGCTAGCATCCTGGACATGCCCTCTCTCAATGTTGTAATAAAGTACTCTTGAAATACATATACTTTTGTATTTGGATATAAAAGAAGAGGAGAAAAAAATTTTTGACTCAGTTTTACTGATTGATCTAGATCTTATGAACAGGTACATACTATAATATTTTATTTCTCTGTTTTTATACTTCCTCCAAATCAGTCTGTCTGTCCATTCTATTCTTCTATCTTTTAAATTTTTTAAAAAATGTTTATTTTATTTTTGAAAGAGACAGAGTGTGAGTGGGGGAGGGGCAGAGAGAAAGGGAGACACAGAATCCGAAGCAGGCTCTAGGCTCTGAGGTGTCAGCACAGAGCCCAATGTGGGACTCAAACCCATGAACAGTGAGATCATGATCTGAGCTGAAGTTGGACGCTTAACTGACTGAGCCACCCAGGTGCCCTTATCCTTCTATCTTCCTTCCTTCCATCCTTCCTTCCTTCCTTCCTTCCTTCCTTCCTTCCTTCCTTCCTTTTTCCCTCCTTCCCTCCTTCCCTCCCTCCTTCCTTCCTTCCTTCCTTCCTTTCTTTCTTTCTTTCTTTCTTTCTTTCTTTCTTTCTTTCTCCCCCTCTCTCTCTTTCTTCTTCTTCTTCTTCTTCTTCTTCTTCTTCTTCTTCTTCTTCTCTGTCTCTCTCTCTCTCTCTCTGTCTCTCTCTCTCTCTCTCTCTCCCTCTCCATTTGCCATGCTTGTAATCCTTCTTTCACACTGAGCAGCCTCCTGTTTAGGTAACTTCCAGTTTTTAGTCCCACCTTCCTAAGTTAGCAGTAGAATTGCATGTGCAGTCTTCCTTGAAGAGAGGTACAGGTATGAAGTCTGGGCCCCACTGAGCAGATTCAGCCAGGAGAGACCTTAGATTTGGTCCTGCTGTTTGTCCAGGGTTCAGGCAGGGTTTGGTGTTGCCATACCTTAGAGGTATCTCCATGTTGTCGGAGCATTCTTCCTGCCAGTCTCCCTTCCAAAGTCTGCCTCTTTGCTCTCCTGAGATCCCATTAACTATCTGATATCTTTTTTTAAACAACTTTAAAAATAGAATAATTTCAGCTTTCCAGAAAAATTGTGAAGATAATACCTAGAGCTCTCAAATGCTTCTGCCTATTTCCCCAATTATTAATATCTTACATTAATATGGTACTTTCATCACAATTAATGAACCAATATTGATACATTGTTACTAACTAATGTCCGTATTTTATTCAGATGTCCTATGTTTCCCTAGTGTCCTTTCTCTATCCTAGGGTTTCATTTAGGGTCCCACATTACATTTAGTCATCCTGTCTTCTTAGGCTCCTCTTGGTTGTGATAGTTTCTCAGATTTCCCTTGTTTTATTATTATTATTATCTTTTATTCTCGTTAGTTAACATACAGTGTAGTCTTAGCCTCAAGAATAGAACCCACTGATTAATCTCTTACATATGACACCTAGTACTCTTCCTGAAAAGTGCCCTCCTTAATGCCCATTACCCATTT